TATGCCACCAAAATTAGCTGGTTCTATAGAACAACTTTTAATATAATTTAAACATTAAGTTATTATTCTATACTAATTATAATTGATATTATTCAGTGCTCTAGCAGTTTTTTGTCTCATTGCTGGGGGAATCCCGAAAAAACTCTTCATTTGTAATGTACACACTCAACTCATTGCTTGTTTTGTCTTCTTTTCTAACATCCTTGGCTAATCTTCCTATTCATGTAAATAAACCATCATCTATTTCCATATATTTGCAATGTTTGGGTTAACAAAAAAGTTCAGAGGATTTAAGAAATGAGCAGTTGCATATAAAGGCTGATGAATTTGCACTTCCCATACTCTATAAATTATTTCAAAAATATTTTTATATTTTTATCATTGGGATGCAACTATTGCTTCTTTAGCTTAGCCTCATTTATAAAACCCACCAGATGCATTTTCTCTATATCTACCAAAAAAAATACCTTCAATAAAGACCCTCCTATTTTATTGCATACACTATAATATTTCAAAAGGATTAGTTCAAGATGATCTGCTATGCTTACTTAGCCTTCCTTTCCTTTGAATAAGGACCAAATTCTTCACGGGTGAACATTTTCTTTTTAAATTTGTTTGTTATTGATGAACATAATCTATAAGATAAAAAACGCAGTGGCAAGCCAAGTATTAATCAATTTTCATTGGTGATCTTTGATTAGTAAATCTTCTCATAAAGTCATATAATTATAGTCTTGAATAAATTAAACTATGCACGATCACCACTGTTTTAAAGCATTTTCTTAATTTTTAAATTTTAAAGATATCTTACATTATCTAATCCAAATAATGAGCGATACATGAATTTGAATAAAAATGTGGACACTTATTCATCAATAACTTTCCTACAACAATATTGCAAAACATTCAATAATGAATAACTAATTATTCTAGTAAAATAGATAAAGGTGTTGCATAATAAACATAATGTAGTGTACCTATGAGTGACATACAAGCAAGAACATTTTCTATGATATCATCAATGACTACCTGAATAACATTATGTGGTCCAGCTTCTTTGATATGCTTGTTTAACAATTTAAACATATTCAGGGCATTCTTTGAATAAGAGTTAATATCAATTGACACTATAAATGTGATTCCTCTTGGACAATTAACCAAAAGTTTACTAAACTTTTCTTATTACGAAATATCCATCAAGCATAAGAGAACAATTATATTTGAAACAATTTTCTTTGTGGCATTGCAACCAATGTATCTATTATTACATGAGTTGTATCTTTTTTTTCAAGCATGGAATCCACGCCTTATGATTGCTTGGAGGTTTCATTCTAGTACTAAATTATCTAGATGCCTTCACTACTACTAAAAAGCTATCATACTGAAATTGCAATGAAGGGGATGTTTGCATCATACATCCTATGTCAAAATATTTGAATTGCTCTTTTCCTCATACCTTTACAAGCAACATCCAATTCTCTTTTTTTTTTTTTTCCTTTCTTTGTTTCATTGCTTCAAAGGGATTCAGAGTTAAAAATATCCAACTATCATTTAACCCCTAATTCTTCAAGCATAGAATTAGTCGTTGAATTTTTACTAAAGTATTTGATTTTGGTGTATAGTAACTCATTGATGGTTTTATAGCTAAAATGTAGTCATCCATATGATAGGAAATACTTGAAGATCTCAAGTGAAAACCTATCAATCTTGGAAAAACAGCGGGGAATATCTACAAAAAACTGAGAAAAAACCAGAAAACAACAATTTTATTGCAATAATCAAAGATGATAGAAGGAAAATACTAAGATGCAGTTGATTCTCAATTCGAGAGGAGGATCTATCTCTCCCAATCCCTAGACGTCGCTAGAGCCCAAGACGCCAAGCACCAAGAACAACAAAATCAGCCATAATTATAAGATCCCATAACCCTAATACAAACTCCTACTTAAAGTAAATACAAAAATAACATAAAAGGACTAAACAATGCTCAAACAATTAGCCCTAGGTAGTGGAACCCACCTCAAGGGGGGCGGGATTGGGAACCTGCTGACCAGCTGCTCCTGGTGTATTGCAGGAGCCGGCCCACAAGTTAGGTTAATTGGACAAGTCCAAGCATATCACCATCCTATCAAAATCATCTCCTCCATCCCTACCATTTTGTGTCATTTCATTAATTTATTCTTTCCACTCCCTATTCATACTCGCCTAAATTACTCCTTTCACATGTTAAGGGTAGTTACCACAAATGCCATTGTTTTTATAACCTCCAGCTAAGTATTGTTTATGATGAGTAATTACTCCTTTTTATATTTTTTCCACAAAAAATGCATATCACCCAATTGATACCAGTTACCTTTGCCAAGAGAACATATTTTCATGTGATACCTTTTCTAAAATTCTAATCTAAATAATTCATTTTTCTTTTCTTTATAGCTAATAGATATAAGTGCGGAATAATATGGTTTAATATTTTTATTAAATAATGAGATGATAGTTTTGCAAATTAAAGAAGATAAAATTAGGTTGTGATATAACACAAAAAAAGTTGAGCCTTGGGTTCATTTTGAGAAGATGAAGATGTTGCTCCACTTTTCATTTATCATACTATAGTTCAATATTTGTACTTTTGTTTATGTAGTTCATTGCAGTTTGATGATTGTACTTATAGTTCCTCATCTGTCCGATAGCCTACTTGCCCAAAATTTTCTACTACGTGGGTCTTTTGCTCTCCACCTTGCTAGAGTTTTTGTTGCGTATGTGAGAAATCAACTCAAAGCGAGGATATAATATTTGAGATAGAGAAACCTAAGGCAAAAAGGAAAAAAAAATAAATAACAGAATTAAATATAATGGCTTTCCTAAATAAAGAAACAAAGCACAGGCTATGATGAAAACATGCCGAATGCTTATAACATGACGTACCTTGACTAATTGTCTTTCTATAAGGTCCATGTCATCTTCAAAATTTGTGTTAGACTATCATGTTCCTAATAATGATAAATGAATCAATGTAAGACCTCAACATTAACAGCGGAGGGTTGACTAGATTGATTGTATCCATTGTGATGTAAATCGGATGAATAATAATAATAATAATAATAATAATAATAATAAACACTATTAATATCAATGACATAGAGAGATGGATTAGGTTGATGTTGTAGGTGGATTTGTGAAGTGTACAAGAGGTGAGAGGATAGGTCAGTGGACCTTTATAAGTGGGCTGGAGTTGGGGTGGATGAGGGCGAGAGGTGATTGAGTAGGCAGAGTGGAATAAACCAAGAAGGGGAGTCGTGTGCTGTCTACTGTTTGGAATTTTCCAACAGGGAAGGAGGGATCAGATGGTTCGGCTATGGGAGATCGGGCTTGCTGCCTAGAGGTGGGCTGTGTTTGCTGTGGAGGTTGGAGTACAGGAGCGAGGGCTCGGTCGAGGAGTGCGAACAGGTTGTTGATCTTGCGGCTGGGTTGTCGTGTCAAGCAGGAGGAAGGTCTGGGTGTCAGGTTTGGTCTGGCCTGTAGATCAAATCAGCGGGATGACAGGGAGATTGGTTGTAGGGTGCGGTTGGCAGAGAGAAACACATTGAGGCTCAATACAGTGCGGGTCGGAACTGAGAGGGGTTGTCGAGTGAGGCTGAAGTTCGATAGGTGCTTGAGTTGTTGTCGGGATTGATCGAGTGAATCGAAGGTGAAGAAAGGTCCGGCTGGGCTGCAACTGCAGCTTGCGATTCGGCTGGGATGCAAATAGGATATGTTAAGCTGGTTGACGGATTGGTCGATAGTGATCCTAAGACAGTCAAATAATTTGAAGGCTAGAGAGACCATTGTCTTGTTTGAACACTGTTTTGGCCGTTTTTGAAGTGTTAATATTATGTCATCGATCATATGTTTATTTATTCTCCGGCCATCACAGTCCATCAGTTGAGACTTAGGGATCATTCTCCATTCTTCTTTAATATAAATACAATAGATGAGGACAATGCTTGATTTTTCGATTACCCCAATATTGGCATGCTAATTAGCTAACCTTAACTCGCCTTGATAAGATATCCTTGCACATAGTTATTACCTGTTTACTCCTTGATATCACCTCTAATGAAACCTTAGAATTGTTTTATCATAATCCAATTAAGGCTGCCAATCATCATTATCATGATGTAACATTAGGATTGGGCTCCACAAAGTATGACTTGGATATCTTTAACACTTCAAACAATACTCATCATGGAAGAATGAAATATGAAGGTTCATAAAGCTTACCCCAAACAATAAAGTTAATGATAATTATGACAAAATAATGGCCGTTTGCTATCCCATTATTCAAGCATACTCTATTTTTCAATTCATCATCAGCAACATCTCTGTTAGCCTTTCTCCAACTATTTAGGGCAATTTTATTAATCTTGTTTTTCCATTCATTCCCCTTTTGTAGTATTTGAAGTGTTAAATTAATTTTGCACTAATATTTTTGCATTCATGATGTCCATCCATGTTAGCTTTGTCCAAACTCTTTATTATCCTTTGATGTTAAATTTATGTACATTGCTTAAAATACACCTTCTATCATCCATTATACTTGCACAAACAAATGCTTCGTTTGGGACGACTCTTTTAATGTTTCTTAAAGCAAATCTTTTATAAAAAAATTTATTTTTTGTACTAAAAAATTGCTTCAAGTAGCAGCAAGAAAACCATCCCAAACGAAACCTAAGTCTATTATATGCATATTTTGCGTTAGTAGTTGCTACTCCAGCAATCTCTAACATATACTCATTTCTCTATTATTTTTTATTTTACCACACTTTTATCCTAACAGTTTTATTTCCATCACATACAATTTGATTATCACTTTTAGATTATATTTGTATTATCCTGCTGCAAAACAAACACATTTCCCCACTAAATGAGGGCGGTTGATAGCTGTTTATATCATACAGTTATCCGTCGAAATGATATAATTTTTATCTATTATAACATAATCCATCCTTCAAATGTTCTTCCAGGTTTGTACAAAAGTACTCCAAGCAAATTTTACTTTTTGGAAAGGCCCAAAAGCAAATATCTTGTGACGTTATTAATGTACATGGCGTCCTCAATTCTCCAGAGTCCAGCAAAAACAGCAGTAGCACTTGTTCCAACACGTCAGAGCTTAGACTCTCGGAAGATGAAATTTCCATCTCAAATCCCTCACACATTTCTAAGAGTACTAATGGCATAGAGCCAAACAAGGAAGAATTCTTAGTGCTCCCAAATGAAATCAATTTTTCTTTATCAAATAATGAGAAGCAAGCAAATGAAACTCTCCAGTTTAACGACCCAATGCTCGCTTATCAAAACAGGAAAAAGATTGCGAAGAGGAATAAAACAAAGACGCCAAAGTCTTCGAAAGCGCACATTCTTGGTTCATTAGCTAAGTACGTATAATTTTCTTAGTTTTTTGGAGTTAAATTTAGATTGCTTATGTTGTTTGTAATTCTTCCAGGTTAAAGATCAAAGATAGAGCTGTTTTGACCGGCGTTTTGTCTAAGTATGGAGAAGTTGCTTCAGCTGCATCGAAGGAAATCTGATAAATTCATACTGTGCTATAGCAGATGGTTGATATAATGCTGCTCTTCCGATCTTTTTTTTAAACATTAAACTGTTGGGATAGGTTTTGCAGAGATGCACAGATCTTTTAGCAACAAAGAAAATTAATTATGGGATGTTCCTGCTTTTGATCTTGGTGGAAACCGCTTTTTTATGCGAACTTAAGGCTTCGTTTGGGATAGTTTTCTTATTGCTTCTTAAAGGCATAAAATTTTAATTTTTGTGTTAAAAAGTTGCTTTAGGTTTTGTTTGAAACGACTTTCTTGATGATTTTTAAAGCAGTTTTATAATACAAAAAATTTAAATTTATGTACTAAAAAGCTGCTTCAAGAAGCAACTAGAAACCCGTTCCAAACGAAGCCTCTAGAAACAATAAAAAAGCACCCAAATGAAGCCAAAATCTACAATGCAACCACATATCTTCAGATTAAGAATAATAAAAAAAAGACAACGATGAATCATCAAGTTAGGTGATTTCAGATTATCACAATTTACAACAGTAAGGGTGAGAACACTTTGTGAAATAAATAATCTGCTTATTTGATTTTAACAATTAATTAAGATTCTCATCATCATCAGAGCTGAAATCCTCCAAGCGCCGGTCTTTGATTGCAGGAAATATCGACTGCCGGGCTTCCGACATTGATTTCAGTATTGTATTATCCTTGCTTCTTGATGTACTCGTCACTTTCCTCTGTGCTTCTCTGACTTCTTTGCAGGCCTTATCCAAAACCTCAAGGAAATCCCTCACTGTGACAAACAATCTCAACCCCTCGTCTCTTCCAGCATTCCCATGGAAATAGTCAGTGGTAAGCTTTACTAATGTTCTTATTCTCTTTTCTTCCTCCAAAAGTTGAGTGATATCAGCCTCAGCATGCTCAACAAATGCTTTCAAAGAATCATGAAAAGCACTTTTCTCATCCAAGTTACTCATATCAGCGTTTAAGAACTCTTTTGTCTTCGCTAATCTATTGCTAAGACTTACAACTGAGCTCGTTAAAGCATCGGCGTCCAGTGCTGCAGCTTTCTTGACATTCTCAAGTTCATAGCTGAGGCTTGAAACAGCCCTGAGACCAAGATTTCGGTACTGATCTTCAGATTCTTCAGGAATTTCGTCGCTGAAGTCGACAGAGTTAAAGCTAGAAATTGTAATGCTGGAGTTACTCCTACTATCTCTTGCTATTTGCACAGCACGCCTGCCTTCGGACCGGATGATCTCTTGAACAACAAAATGTAGTAGTGTGGTCTTTCCATCGGCGCCTTTAACGTCTGAAAGTTTCAAAAGTGTGTCAAGCTTGAATGCCTCTGCTCCTCCACGGTATGTACCATCATTCATGCGGTTCCCAGTTTTGAGAACAGCTTCCAACAATTTTAAAAATAAACGACTGTTTTGGAGATCATTGCAGGCTTCCTATTACAAAATAAGAGAAGATAAAAAGTTTATAGTATGTAGGGGCTTGCTGCTACAATTGAAAATGGAAGGATGTGATAAACTGATTGTATAGAGAAGTGCAATAATAATAGGATCATTAGAGGAAAAATTATTCTGTGCGGATACCGAACGCCGTCTGGAGACCAATAAAAATACACCATGTCATCCTTTTTCTGTACCGCGGCTCGGTAATACTTGGTACTGAGGCTCGGTAATGCTCGATACCGAGGCTCGGTAACGCGGCATTCGGACGTAGAGCTGTCTTGCGTTCGCACATAATAATTTTTTGAAAGATTGACATGGGATGGACACTAGAGTCTAAAAAGATGAAAGCTATGACAAGTGCTTTAAGAACATCAAACAATGTGCACTGTGCATAGACAGGCATAAGTTACAAACCTTATAATTACATGCATATAGAGATTAGAGATGGATACATAAGTAGTTGTTTTGTGATTACAAAACTATTTCGAGCATACAAAGACGAGAGCATAAAGGCCATGCTCGAAGACTTAAAGGCGCAGAGTACATTCATATGAGAATATGTAATTTGCAAGAATGAAAAAATGATGGTAACTACTAAAGATGCGGAACTAGCCTTAGTTCTTATGAGGGGGCAAGCAACAAATTTATAAAAAAATAAAAATATAAAGATGTAAAAATAATTTATTTTAAACATAATCATTTTTCACAAATTTGTTTGTTAGTGTTAGAAAAGTTCAACATAATTGGATGAAATAACAGGATGTCAAAGGGCTTTCCGATTTCTGATTTTTTGAGGGGCAAATTATATGGAAAAAAGGTAGGCTCAGGGCAAAAAATAAAATTAGGGGGGATTACAAATAACCCTTATTATATTAAGAGTTTTAATTTTTTTAGGAAAGACAATTCACTACAAAGTTCCGCCCCTGACTACTGAATTTTTTGAAGATAATCAATATATTTTTACTATTATCTCATTCATCTACATTTGATATTTCAGACGTATCAAAATTTTAGATAGAACAAGTTTATTGACATTGTATTAGCAGCCAAGATATCCAAATATCTGAAGTATCAAATAATAATATGGCAATCCCATAGAAGCATCCATGGGTGGATCCACCCATGGCTTAGGGTGGGTAAATGCCCACCCTCAAATTTTTTTTTTTAAATATTTAGAGGGGAGATTTTGAAATATTTTGGGTATTTTGGGCATTTTGCCCCCCCCCCCCCCCCCCCTAAAATTTTTTTTTTTCATGGATGGCTGCATGTGAGTATGTGACAAGAGCTTAAAGCATTTTTTTTTTTTTTGAAAAGGAATAGATTTAGGTATAAGCTCCTCATCCGAGGTTGGTGCCATTCTCAACAATGTTTGTAGTAGCTCTATTGGAAGCTCGTTTCCTGCTTGGAGAAGACATTACTCCGATTATTAATCATTATCATCAGTACGCTATATATGTTATGATTCTCACAAATGTAGGAGGATACATATTGTCACTTTGTTTTCAAATATTTAATCAGAAAAATAAGAAAAAAATGTATATTTTAGAGAAACTGGAAAGATAATAAATATATGAAAATTTTAGTGTAATGATATTAAGAGTACGGTTGGGAACCCCTCAACCTGTGTTCCCCTCTGGCGGTAGCGCCTCTTAAGTGGAGTTCTAATAAGTGCGGGTCAGGAGGTTATGTAGGAGTGGGTGCCTCTTGTAGGTTAGCCGAGGGATTAGTTACGCCGCCGAACACCTCACAAGTTAAGATGGTAGCGGATAGATACCGCTGTTCCCAAAAGAAATATTAAGAACATGAAATATTATGATCATCATCATTATTATTCTTAGCCCAAAATTTTTTTTGATCAAATTTGCTAATCCTTCTTCTCTAGTGTCTCGATTTATTTTGATAGTGTTGCACGTAATGTTAACTATCAATCATATAAAAGTTGGCACAAGCTATTCCCGTAATGACAAGGATACAAAGGATATTATAGCAAAATATAAAAGTGTTCAGAAGAAAATATAATCAAATGACAACTACGATGCATTTCTAATTAAAAAAAAAAATGTAAATTTACCTTCCATTAATGCATCACAAACTTCTTCTACTTTTACATTATGTGCCTTTAAAGAGATGGCCAAATTCTGTGATTTCTTCTGCTCAAGAATCTGTATGCGTTGACCAGAAGAATCATTTCCAAAATCCCTTTTAGAATCATTCCTGCTCTTATCAGCAACATTGTACCCAAACAAAGTTTCTATCATCTCCTCATTAAACCTATAAAATTAACAAAAATCTACTATTTCAAGATTGAAAACAAATTTTATAGGGCTGAGTAACTTGAAAAGGAAGTCATTAAACGCTATTTGTAATGAGGCTTACTGGAATGATCCAGCTTTAAGCTGATGCCAGACCATGGATTGATCAGGGTTGGCCATGACCTTATCCCAAAAGAATGGCTTCAACTTGGTCTTGGCACTGTCAGTATCAACATTTTCTTTTGAAGAATCATTTTGCATCGGATACGAATTTGCATAAGAACTTGAATTTTCTTGTGGAAGACAGGAAGAGCCTTTTGGCGGCAGTGGCGGCCCTCCTTTGGGAGGGAGAGGAGCAGGCTTTGGTTTAGGAAGCGGAGGCGGCGGGGCAGGAGGAGGCACAGAAGTTCTTCCAGGAGGTGGCTTGAGAGGTGGTGGAGGCGGTACTCCTACCGGAGAAGGATTGAGAGGTGCATTTGTAAGCTCACTTGAACTTGAAGCTACAGAATGCCCATCAGATAAGGTAGCACTTTGGTTCGGGTCAGCTTTAAAAGATGAACCAAACTTATCTCTGTACAAACCAAAAGAATTCTGCGAAGAACCTGAAAATAGAAATTGTAGATTCAACATCCCATAGATCATACCATAATTTTATAGTTGGAAGAACAACAAAGCATATACATACTAGAGAAGTCACTAAGGCTTAAGGACAAAATTGGTCTCTCATCCTTTTGCCCATTGACAGTCTGATACTTGCTTCCAGCATATCTATTACAGCAACAAAAGCATAATGCAGCAAGTGTAAAAGTAGCTGCTGCAGTTACAACCACTGCAATAATAATTGTTTGAAAACTGTTGCTTGCAGCAGAAAGATGAGGTATTGGATGAACTTCGGGCACAAGGAAGTCATCTGATGATGAAGTTTGAGAAAAATCCCCATGATCATCTTCAGGCAAGTGGAGTTTATTCGGAGGTAATGACAGAACAGGAGCAAGCCGTTTAAATCCGATAGCTGGGGTTGGGGCTGGAGGTAGAGCTAAGACTGGAGCTAGAGCTGTGCTTCGAGTTTGGATTTGATGACTTGGTCTTAAAGTTGGAGCTGGAGATGGGTCAGAGGGTTTTCTTGAAAGAGAATCTTGCTCGAGCATTCTTAAAAAATGTGTAGGAGGCCTGTGCATTAGGCTGATATCTGGAAAAACAGGAAGGATATTTTGCTTGATCAGACAGTCAATAAGAGAGCGCTTCATGTCAGGGGTAAGGTGAGCGAGGGTCGCTTGCATGTCTTTCCATAGATGTTCAGTGGAAGAATCCATAATGCTATCTATTATTAGCAAATCTGAAGCAATCATGACTGATTTTGTTCCCAACAAATCAAGCATGCAATTTGACCATACATGTTCCATCTGCAATTCTGCATTCATAGGATCTTTTCAGAAACTATAGACAGTATAACCGATTGATCAGAGAAGTTAAATTTAAAGAAGCGTCCGATTCTACTAGTAAGATTCAAGCTTCGTTTGGGACATCTTTCTTACTGCTTCTTAAAGCAACTTTTTAGCATTAAAATTTTTATTTTTGAACTTATTAACTGTTTTAAGAAGTGGTAAGAAAGCCGTCCCAAATGAAGCCTCAGTTGTTTCAAAGCAGTTTCAGGTGACATACATCCAACAATTAAATATAACCTCTTGGACAATTACAAAGAGACTATATCACTACAGTTGAGTAATGCAAAATTTACCGATCTAGTACAGTTTAGCTAGCTAATGGATACAATGTCGTATAGCAAAATATGCAGAGATGAAAACAATTTAACAAATCCATGAATAACTTATATTGGTGTGCAGAAGGACAGGGAGGAAGTGCGCATATTCTATGAAAGAAAATGTAGCTGTGTTGCCATTTGGGGAACATGAACATCTTTAAGTCACAATATTATTACTTTGCATAAGAATAATAGTCATTCATCAAACATATCCTCCAGTTCACAAAATAATCTTCAGAAATTCATCAAATTTATGCAGGAAAAGAGATTTCACCCAAATACCGTGAAGCAAGCGAAAATTGATGGCAAGATATTACAACTATGCTTGCTTCAAGAGGAATACTATTATTTTGCCATCAGATAACAATAAATGGACATATGGCTGCAGACTCATGTTGCACATTCACCAGTAAAGAGGCTTGGAAAATCATTGTAAAATTATGTGCTAATTTGATAAACAAGTAGTTTTTTACCTCCCATGAGAGCATAGCTGAATCATTTCCATAAAATATTTAAAATTAATAGGTGCAGAAAATCAATCTGGAGGATGGACAAAAATGCATATAGCCTCTTGAGTGCTTATCCGCTCATAGTAATTTTTTATGAGGGTACATTCATTCACAGAAATAGTTTGGCTGCAGCTTTCTTCATAGCTATATTTTTTCCAAGTATCTCCAATGAAAACAACATGGGGGTGAAAAAAAAATCACCCTTTCTATTCTATTCTAATTAACTATTATTCTATGGATTAAAACTTAAACGGAAACTAATCGCAACCATCAATCATATTTTTTGGCCTTGCTTTTTATTCCTCTGTATTCTGTAAATGGCAATGTTCCCATTCATTCCCATTCTTTGTGACGTGATTAATACTCAATCAAACAAAATCATATTGCAATTAACACCGAAGCATTTCATATCATTACTATTCACATGAGAAAATTTCTACGCCAAAAGAAAGAACGCGCAAGAAGAAAAAGATCAAGTTCTTATATCAAATATCAATAATAATACCAAAACAATTCTTACCATTTCTTCTCCCGTACCTGACAAATCCGTTACCATCGTATCCTCGGATCCAAAGAACAATCCATCGCCCGCTCGCCTTCCTCTCGAACCCCTCGGTACGGCAAATACTAGGAAAAAAACCGCGCACGCGGCTAAAAGAACATCACTTCTCATAGCCATCATACATCGGAACGAGCTCTCAGATAGGATCAGCCTTTATCAACTCATCAATAGCTGCAATATGTTCTTCCGATCAAAATCCTATGCAATCCAATCTCGGAAAGACCCCGAATAACCTTTCCTCTATAATGGAAAAAATGGCTGATTCCGAATGCAGAAGCCCCTGCGCGAAATGCGAAGAAAAGGGTAGAATATCAGAGGAGGGAAGGAACGAGGCCTTTGATCCTCTTCCGGCGAGTTCGTCGGGAAATGGCCTTCCGACGTGGTAGGAAATCAAGACGTGCCCGAGATCTAGGTTTCGACGTTTCGTCGCGGACGACGAGCTGGTGATAAATAGCGCATTTTGATTCTCTTCTATAGGTTCTGGAGCGAACGTGAGAGGAGCGACTAATAACTGTCGTATATTTTTTTCATCATAAAATTATTATTATTATTATTATTATTATTTATTTTTATGTTTTTATAAACTAAAGAGAGAAATTATACTTTGAATGAATTAGAAAAATATATTTACTATTTAATTTTTTGAAAAAATATATTTAAAATTTTATTTTAGGTCAAAATATTCTTACTTTTGAGTTTTGATAGCAAAATACTTATTATCATTGCCAATTCTGATTTGAAAAATTATTGAATAAAGTTCAAATATTAATAAATATTATTTATTATTAAATATTAAAATATTATTTAAAAATTAATAAATAGTTGAAACTTATTTGAATACTTAATGAACTTTTTTTATACATCAAATAAGTGTGCTAGAATAAGTTTATATAAGTTAATGTTTGAAAATTTTATAAAATTGATCAAATTATTCATCCAATTATACAATTATACAAGAGTTATAGGTCTCTGGCCGGTACCACCAAATTCGCTTCCTTATTGGAAATATAAAAAATCAATATGCTATAAAAATTTAAATTAGCAAGAAATAAATTTTATGATTCGTTTGGGATGACTTTCTAAAACAGTTTTTGAGTACAAAAATTTCTAGTTAGTACAAAAAATTTTGGAACTATAAATTTTTATGCTAGAAAGATGCTTTTGAAAATAGTAAGAAAGTTGTCTCAAACAAAGCCTATAACTACGGTGCTACAGTTGAGATAGGAATATTAGTTCTCTTGAAATAATTGTCATATAAAAAAGCGAATAAGAAATGCAAAGAAAGGAAACAGTACGTAAAGAATTTCTAGTGATGAATAACATCTCTGATTCTAATAATAATTAAAGTAATTTATGCCATAATATTCTTTTTTCAATTACACATACTTACATATGCTTCGTTTTGGATGGTTTTCTTATTGTTTTTAGAGCAAAAATTTCTTGAACAAAAATTTTTTGTGCTAAAAAATGATTTATAAAGCAATAAGAAAGCTGTCCCAAATGAAATCCTAAAGAAAAATTAGGCACCAAAAGAAAATCACAATGAACATTTTTTATATTCTCATGAACTTTTTTTTTAATTTCTTCAAAATAAAATTGCACGTGAGATATGTTAATATTCTTGGGATGGAAAGAAGCTTTCTTCAACTTCTTGGAAGGGAAGAGGATAGAAAGAGGGAAGGGGAGTAGGAGATAAAAATTTGAAATTTTATTGCTAAACCATATCTCCTATTACAGTCTATAGTGTCAATATATAGACACTAATGACTACATCAGTGGCAATATAAGCCATACAAGAAACTAAAGAAAAGAACACCTAAAAGCTAACAGTAAAATACACAAATATAAATAAGTTGGATATCAAAAACAACTCTAATAATCTCTACCTTGATCCAACTTCTATCAATTGACCATTGAAAAACATCTGAATCAATCCATTCATCTCCTTAATCTGTTACCACAGCCAAGTTAATGTCACCTTTGAGTTCAACCTTTTTTCATTTCTCTTTATTCGAACAATTTCTTTTGAAATGTCCATCTTTGTGGCAAAGATAACACTTCACTACAGGAAAAAATGTTAATTTCTGGCGGAAATAAATCCATCAGAAATTCCAATAGATTTTTCTTCCCCTTCAAATCCATCTCAAATCTCTTAACTACCTCCTTTGAACTTACAAATCCTGGATCGGGTAAAAGAGAGGACGCTATTTCTCTCGTCCTCTTCCTCTCGTCCTCCTCCTCTCGTCGGCTCCTTCTCAAAGTGAAATCCTCGGATCCAAATCTTTCGGAGCGACCAGGGAGAAACAAGAGCGTCAGCCACCCCCTTCCTCCGAAACCAGCTTGCGGCCTTGCGCTCTTAAGCCCAGCGAAATGCCAAATTTTCTGAAAGGTTTCTACGATGCCGGTTTAAGAAATGGAAAACGAGCTTGGCAAACCGGGTATTCACTTGCAAGTACAGGCTTATAAAAGTCATATACATGAGACATGTGAGTCCCTCTATATTTACTTTCAAAAGCAATTGGAGCATTTGGTCCAATCAACATTGCAATAGCTGCAGCCCCACCAATAGGCCGAGCTGGCCCTTCCGCATAAACCTAATGAAAACAGATACATTAAGCATATGATGTTTTATGTTCATATATCAATGAAATTGCAAAGGCCATGAATATATGCCTTAAAGAGAACTATATATAAATAATCATCTCTTAACCTTAATCAGTAATAGTCCCTTAACCCAAACCATATGAAGTCAGCGTTATGGGAAAAAATAGTAAAATCATGCTTCTCAGATGACTGCAATAAACTTCTTAAAAGCATTTGTAGAATCAACTACTTCAATATCAGTGTTCCCATATTCCTGAAATTTTACGTTTACAGATTACAAATCAGAGGAAAGTTAAACAGACAAAATTCAAAGAAAATTTATCATCTTCAAAAGCAGGGCACTACTGGGAAAGGGCTGAGTGGTTTTTCCCTTGGCCTCCAACAGAGTTGTTAAGGGTTCAAATTTCCCATGTATATGCCATTACATGATAAATATAATTTCTAGTGAAACACAGAGAAGATAGCTTCCATGTTGAGGCAAGGAACAAAATTCAGATAAACATCTAACCTCAAAAATGTTCATGAGCCATGTTTTAATAGACTTGCTTTTATCTATCTCTGTTTCACTACCAACTTCCAAGCGGCCAATTTGCTTTGGATCAATCCGATATTTCTCAATCAGGGAAGTGACAAAGCTGAATAAAAAATTTAATAAACAATTGGATCTTAGCAAATTATCATCGTTTAGACAAAACAAAACAAGAAAAAGCTATAGTGAAGAAATGTTATCTTATAAATAATTTTAAAAATCCATTGCAAAGGAAACAAAAAGAACTAATCACATATAAGTATCTTAAATATTGAAGATATATTCACTTAAATATTGATGCAAATTGTTTCTTCTCTAATCATTTCACATCATCATAGTCATCAAAAATTCAATTGAAATTTTGTTAATGAAACCACCTCAGCATCATCATAACTCTCCAAATATAAAAAGGCATCTTAATTGAACCAAATTCTTTAACCTTATGCATCTTCAGTAGAAACTCCACTTTGTATTTTTGAATCAATTTATGACATATCCCATTATTTTATTCATTATATTCTTCATAAATATTTTTACAGTAACTCACATTTATTAATTTTCAATGTTAATAGAAGTCCCATAAATATGTCTACAAAATTATAACTTCACTAAACATTCTGTTGTTAAGCAATGTAATTACGAGCTGCAGAATAATCCCCTGGTCAAACTAATCGAACGGAGTTCATATGTGAGTGTTTATATTTGAGTTTTTTTATTATTAGCTTGTTCAAATTCAGTTCGTATTTGATTCAAGTCTTATATTGTTTGTGTCCATATTTGATTCATTATGTGCATATTTTTTAAAATTTCACATCATAAAAAATATTTTTATTCATTCAAACTATTATTATAGCTACAACATACAAATAATAATTATAAAAAGTTGAGAACCTTGAGTTACTGTTTCTGACAATTTTTGCATTTCTAAATGCCTCAAGAACATGATTTGACTGCATAATGATGAAAAAAAAAGTAACAATGTGAGATATTTTTGCAACCCAAGGGAAAAGAAACATTATGAAAGCATATCCCAATATAGTTTTACATATTGTGCCAACACTGACTAATAAATGCGCCGACATCTAACATCAAGAACTTTCGTAAGGACTCCGTTCGATTCGTTTGAGCAGGGGATTATTCTGCAGCTCGTAATTATTTATTTTTAACAATATAAAGAAATATGCACGAAACGGATGGGATTTAATACGTCTACACCTACGCATGGCCAATTTCAAGCGGAAGAGGAATCGCATCGGCCAAAGGAGGCATCTGTGTGGCAACGTTCATCACCGGCGACCGACATAACCGACAAGTTCGATGTTGCAGCAGTCAGGAATACAAACATACGGCGTGAAAGAAATGACCGCACGAAATGGATCTCCACCATTGGCATATCAAGCAGCTGTCAATGGTGGCCGCCCGCGGATCCTGACGTTTGGCTTCGGCTTAGGTGAGACGAGGCAAGTTGTCGAGGGTGGCGTCGCTGAGCCTAGTATCAGTGTTCTGTGCGGGCTGAAGCGGTGGGACAACGTTGGAGTGAGAGCAAACAAAGTAGATTATGAGGTTTATGGTAATGGCAATGGCAAAGAAGAGGACGGCGACGATGATGCCGATGGTGTAGCTCATTGTAGAGGTTGGGTAGGAGGAGAAAATACTATTTGCTGATAGGAATTGAATTGTTTAAGCTGTATTTAACTTGGATTAATCTGCCAAACAGCAAAGACGATGCTTTAAAGCTGTTGTTGAGGGCATTTAACTTAATGGTGATCTAATTTGAGGACCTAGATGCTTTTTTGGCACAATTTAAATCCCCTGGATCAAGACACATTTATAAAAATATTTTAAAAAAGAAGCTTGTTCTATCAAACAGGTTTAGGTCGGTTTCATGCTTCCAGTTTCTGGCGCAGCTGAGAGCAAGAAATAATACAAGGCGGGAGGGAAAGCTGAAAGGAGCTGCTTACTGATACAAATTTAAATGCTATAGGTAACATTTGGATGATTCATTTGTTAGCACAAAATCAATGGCATGGATCACCAACGTGTCCCATAATTCCTAAAGCCATTACATCTGCTGTTAGTATTGAGGCTTTTATAATGAGGAGGAGGAGGAGGAAGGGGAAGATCCGCCATTGAGGCTTTTACCTGATTGCGGTCATTTCTTTCACGCCGTATGTTTGTATTCCTGGCTCCTGCAACATCGAACTTGTCCGTTATGTCGGTCGCCGGTGATGAATGTTGCCACACAGACGCCTCCTTTGGCTGCTTACTGATACAAGGCCGGAGGGAAAGCTGAAAGGAACTGCTTACTGATACAAATTTAAATGCTATTTTGGATGATTCATTTGTTAGCACAAAATCAATGGCATGTATCACCAACGTGTCCCATAATTCCTAAAGCCATTACATCTGCGGTTGTAACCAACCTCCACTAGCAGTTATGCATAACTTGTATAACCAAGTGTCTTGTTCAAGTCTATATATACTCAATATTGTACAAACGTTTTATATGTGAATTGTTAGAATAATTATATACATTTAATTATGCGAGACGTCGCAATAATTATTTAAGTATGTATATTTAATTATATAACTCATTAAGTGGCCCATATATTAGAATTATTTAAATTTAATTATTTATGTTTAATCCTATTGGTCAAGAAGAGATAATTTGATCATTTGTTTATGGACCGTTTGATCAAATAACTCATATGCGATTATTGTAATCAATCCGTAGGAAATAACTATCGGTCCTCTCTTTAACAAATCTTTCAAAACTCTTCTTCTACTCTATTCAACTATGCAAATACAAATACCATATTACTCTCATAACATCCAAAAAGAATAAAATTTTTTAATATATTTCGGGATAAGCATTTAGGGTTTAGGGTTTAGGGTTTAGGGTTTAAGGTTTAGGGATAAGCATCAGTCTTTTTTGTTCGTGCATTTTTTTTACATTTTCTCTTGCAAAAAAAATCTCTTATTTTATTGAAGCAGCTACAAACAACAAATATATACCATAACAATATTTTTTCAATTTAATATTCAATAGACACAAATCTTATATTCTACCTTTATAATTATTTCTCTAGGGGACCATAGGTGCCATTACTTGACAAGACCCAAAAATCCGACCCGAGCCCGATCCAAAGCTTTCTGGGTCGGATTTTTGGGTCTACCGAAAATTCTACAGCTCTAGTCTATCAATTTCTCCCATCAGAATGACCCTTAGTTATTGCATTATAAGAAATTTCAGGGCTATATTTTTGTTTGATTGATTTTGTGCTAATACAAATATGACTATATAAAGGCAAGAGAGTAAAACAATAATGGAAATACAATATAATAGAATATCCTCAATAATAAGGATATATTACATGAATAAATATGATAGATTTTTTGCTAGATAATGAATAATTCTATATTAACTACCCTCTATTTGGTTAGATGAATTTAAAATTTATGAGTGTTTTAAAAAATATAATGTATTTGGTAGATTTTATAGCAATTTGGTTGATTTTGTGCTATAAAATATACTACAATCAACCAAATTGCTATAAATACATTATACTTTTTGAAACACTCATAAATTTTAAATTCATCTAACCAAATAGGGCCGGGGTAATTAATATAGAATTATTCATTGTCTAAAAAAATAATCAAATTATGTTAAAAAAAATTGTAAATTTCAATTACATTTTCCTTTGAAAAGCTTTAAACATATTACGTTTAAAAACAATTTTTTTTCCCACTGTCGTAACGATGTCGCCTGCTCTGCAAGGGTTAGGTTTCCTCCATCGCTTCTTCTTCCTCGTTGGTGAGAGCTTATGTCCCTTTTAATCGTTAGATTTTATTGTGTTTGTGTATGGCGTCTCCCCGTTTGCGAGATCCTGGTTTTTTGGGTGGGGTTGCGACCCCTCTTTCATTCAAGGACGATGTTTCTGGTATCTCTTCTTCTACTTTCCCTGATCTAATTTTTTCTTCTCATCGTGGATTGCCGGCTTTGTTAATTTCTGAAGAGGAGATTCGGGCGCTTGCGAAGCCATTTGAATTTTTGTTGGTTGGTCGTTTTCCGGGGCGGAGGTTGTCGGTCGACGCTATTCGTAAATTTTGCTTCAATTTAAAGCTGATTGGGGATTTCTCAGTCACCGTTCTCAATCACCGGAATGTTTTGATTAAACTGGTGAATGATTTTGATTATTGCAGAACATTTTCACATAGATCTTATTTTGTTCAAAATTACTATATGAAAGTGGTGAAATGGTATCCCCATTTGGATGTTGAAGTGGATTCGCCAGTTGTGCCAATTTGGGTGTCTTTCCCTCTTCTTAGGCCTCATTTATTTTCTCCTAGAATTCTTTTTGGTTTAGGTTCTCTCTTCGGTAGACCTCTCAAATCAGATTTGGCGACGGCGTCTGGTTCTCGCCCGTCCATTGCTCGCATTCTAGTTGAGATGGATGTTATCAAGAAACATGCTGATAAGGTTTGGGTTGTCTCTGTGGAGTCGGGGTATGTGCAGTCCGTTATTTTTGATGATATTCCTAGTTTTTGTGTGCATTGTAACTCCTTAGGTTATTCTAAGGAGTCATGCCATATCTTACATCTCAATCTTAAAACCTCTAAACCTGTGATTGATCAAGGCGAGGTGCCTGTGTTAATTGTGCCTGTTGTTCAAGGTGTGTCGGATAACAATGTTGTGCTTGAACCGAATGTTCTGGGGTCGGAAAATGTTGTAGCTGTTCTGTGTGGAGAGCTGGTCTGTAATCCCTCTGTTGATATGAATTTGGAAATCATTCAGGAAGACAATATGATGCTGGATGTTGGTGCTAAGGATGTGGCTGAGAATTTGCTGTCTCCTAATGCGATACTTTTTTTTCCTTCGTGTGTTGATACTGGGCAGACGGCTGAGATGGTGGGTAGTCCGAATGTTGCTCTGGTGCCGGATGTTAGTGAGAGGTTGGTTTCTATTCCTGTTAGGGATGTTCCTTCCCCTGTCGTGGATGATGGGTTGTTGCATGGTGATCCGTCTGTGTTGGGTCATGTGGAAGGTTCGGATAAATGTCAGTCTACTGTTAGGAAAGTTCACTCATCAGTGGGGGGCTAGGTGGCTAATTCTATTGTGCAAGACAGTTTGATTAATGTTCCTGTTAACCTATTGGCATCCCAAACTATGTTGGGTTCAAATTTAAGAATGGATGTTAGGCCACATGGTGATTGGTTGAACAACTCGCCTGATAATGGATCTGAATCTGATTCTTTTTCAGATCCTGGTTTTAAGTTTAAAATGGTTCCTGATAGGCCTTTTAGGGCTGGCTTGCGTGGGAAATTTTGGAAGCGAGGTGGTAGAAAAAGATAATTTGTTTTTATCTTTACTTGCTGTTGGCGTTTTCATCGGTTTGCTTATCGTATGGATTTTAATTTGCGGGGCTATGATGTGCTGGGGCTCGCATCCTCCTCAACGTTCTTGTGGCAACCGTTGCCTTCTGGATGGTCCTTGAGTGGTCTCGAGGTGCTGGTAGTCTCGGTGTTCTACTGAGCCCTCGTTTGGATTGTCGTTTTCGTTTTTCGAGGGTGTTTTGTTAGGTCTTGTATTCTGTAACTCATTTTATTTTATTTATTTTTTCTTTTTTCCGCATACTGCTGTAACCCTCTCTTTATTTAATATATGTCTTTTTGTTAAAAAAAAAAACGTATAATAACATAAAGCAATATAAATATTAAAATATAGCTCTTAATTTCATAGAAATATCATAAAAAGTTGCTCATATAATAACATAAGGGAAACATTCTTCTGCAATTTTTTTGTTGCAACTCGTGTATTAGCATACCTTTTGAGCTGCTTTAGTCTCCTGTTATAATTAATTATGTTGGGATGAGGAGTAAATCACCATAACGAAACAAACAAGAAAATTAAAAAATTGTATAAAGTAAAATGACTCCAGGATTTAACGTGAAAAATTAAAAATTGGGAAAAAAATTCACGCAGTCACACCACACCAACGAACCTACTAAGAAAATGAGGAGAAATAAGAACATATATTTCTGCTCTCTGACTCTCACATTACTTCTCTTCTCTCTTACATCGTTCTCATACTCAAAACATAAGATAAAGTTAAGTTAATAGCATCAAGGGACGAAACCCTTCAGAAAAAAGAGAGAAACTATTCACTTAGCCTCGCAGTACTGCGGCCCTCAAGCTTCTGTCATCACGTTGCTACGCAACTCAAACTCGCAGCACCGCGACACCGAATCTAGAGCACTGCGGTGCTCTGCTCTGTGTCGATTAACAC